AACAAGAGCAACTTTTAGTTTGTGTGGTATTATTTTATTATTTTAATAAACTGTTTTATTTAAAACATTTATAAATTTAAAAAAAAAGTTCTAGGTTTACAGAAAAGTTGCAAATATAGTAGAGAGAGTTCCTAGCTATCCCATATCCTAGTTTTCCCTTATTTTTAGTTCCCTTATGTTATTAACATCTTAAATTAGTATGGAACACTTGTTATAATTAATGAATCAATGTTAATATTATTAACTGAAGTCCATATTTTATTCAGATTTCCTTAATTTTTACCTAGTGTCCTTTAGTTGTCCCAGGATCCCATCCAAGATTCATTACATTTAGTTATATCTCCTTACACTCCGCTTGACTATGCCAGTTTCTCAGACTTCCCTTATTTTTTTAAACATGTTTTTATTGATTTTAGAGAGAAAGGGAGAGGGAGAGGGAGTTAGAAACATCAATGAGAGAGAAACATCAACATCCATCGACTGCCTCCTGCATGTCCCCTGCTGGGGATCGAGCTCGAAACCCAGGCATGTGCCCTGACCGGGAATCGAACCAGTGATCTCTCGGTGTGTGGGTCGACACTCAGCCACTAAGCCACACTGACTGGGCAGACTTCCCTTATTTTTTATGACCTTGACAATTTTGAGGGGAATGCTGGTTAGGTATTTTATAGAAGGTCCCTCAGTTGGGATTTGTCTGATGTTTTTCTCCTAATTAGACTGGGGTTATGTGCTTAGGGAAGGATGACCACAGAGGTAAAGTGCCATTTTCATTACATCATATCACGGGTAAATACTACCAACATGATATCACTGGTTTGTGTGTGTGCGTGTTTTTAAATATATCTTTATTGATTTCAGAGAAAAGAAGGGAGAGGGAGAGAGAGAGAGAAACATCAATGATGAGAGTCATTGATCGGCTGCCTCCTGCTTGCCCCCGACTGGGGATCAAGCCCGCAACCCAGGCATGTGCCGGGAATCGAACCGTGATCTCCTGGATCCTAGGTCAATGTTCAACCGCTGAGCCACACCCGGCCGGGCATGATATCACTGTTGATGTTGACCTTCACCATCTGGGTAAGGTAATGCTTGTCAGGTTTCCCCACTGCAAAGTTCCCTTTTCCATACTGTTCTCTTTGGAAGGAGTCAATATGCACAAACCACCCTTAACAAGTAAGGAGTTATGTTCAGCCTCCTTGAAAACACAGTATCTATGTAAATTATTTAAAATTATTCTGCACAGATTTTTATATTCTATTATTTATGTGTATCATGGATTTTTAATTTATACTTTGAGTTATAAGGCAATACTATTTTTTGTTTCTCAAATTGTCTAGCTTTGGCCAGCTCTTTCAGTTGGCTCCTGTGTCCCTTTGACATACCTACATATTTTAAATTTTCCTTTTTATGACTTTCTAGCACTATAAGATGCTCCAGGCTTACCGTGTATATTTCCTGTCCCTGTCGTTAAATCAGCCATTTCTCCAAGAAGCCCTGGCTCCTTTTATTGGAGAATGGTATTACAAACCAAGATCTGGGCACTAGGTGTGCTACCTCCTAAGCCCTCTCAGGTGGCAGAGTAAGGAAATACTATATGTGTGTATAGAGGGTTCTCCTAAATGATTTTTTAAATTTGCCTACATTAATGTTCTATGGGTTTGGAAAAATGCATAGTGTCAAATATCCACCCTTACAATATTATGCAAAATAGTTTTACCATCAGAGAGTATCCTCTGTGCCTAATCTATTCAACACTTCTCTCTCCTTGACTCCCTAGTCTTCTATTTTCTGCCTGTATAGTTCCCTTTTCCAGAATGTACTATAAATAGAATCATATAATTTGTAGTCTTTTAGACTTGATTCTTTCACTTAGCAATATACATTTAAGATTTATCCGTGTCTTTGCTCAGCTTGACAGCTCATTCCTTTAAAAAAAATTGTAGTAAAATACACATAACATAAAAGTTAGCAGCTTAACCATTTTTAAGTGTACAGTTTAGTGGTATTAAGTACACTTGCGACAAAGTAAAATGCTCTCTCTCAGTCTTAATTCTAGCCTGTTTTTCTCTCACGGCCTCCATAGCTCCTGCCTCAAATATGCTAATTAACTAGAGCAATTCTGCTTGAGGTTTTTTTTTTACTCCAGCAGCCCTTTCCGGAAGAGGTGGGGAAATATGCATAAAATAATGACTGTTTATCAAAGATTTACTGGAGGGTGCAGAACCCGGACTCAGATCCAAGGGGGGGTCAACCACAGACCAGGAACAAAGGGATTTAGAAACGTCGAGCTCCTCCTTGGCCTCCTTTTCAGCTCCTAGCTGTCTTGGGGTGGAAGAGGGCCAGGGAGGAAACCCACCTCTTGCCTCGGCCCTCCTCCCTTCCCTTGACAGATCAGACAGCCTGAATTTGGGGCTCTCTTAATGAAACTGGACAATGTATCTGGGCTGCCTGTCACCATCTGAGCCAATTAAGCAGAGACAGGGATGAATCTTATATGACCGTTTATTCCAATATTGCCGGCAATATGGGAGAGCAGTAAGGGTCACCCAGACAAAATCTGCTCTGTTGACCCCCATAAGCCAGCTGCTTATATTCGGTAGAAGGACAAAGATTACATGGCAAAGTAGGAATTACAGGCATGGGGAAGTAGGCAAGGTGGGCTGGGGGGGGTGGTTTCGCAAAGGGTGGGCACCTGAGGGACCAGATTCCAGGCAACGTGGGCTGGGAGTTGCAAAGGGCAGGTGCCTCCAGGGTTCCCACTGTTAATCTTTCTGTGGTGTTAGGCAGTTCTTGGAAAAGGAGAATGGACCATATTCCAAGGGTAATCCCTACGTCCTGGGGCGTAAAACTCCCAGGCAGGTTAGAAAGTGCTTTTTCTAACTAGAACAGAACCACAGTTAACATGATTAATATTTCTTATAACTATAGCTAATAATCACCGTGAAAAGAGCATGCTCAGCACCTCTGCCCCAACATTAAGGAGGACTTGAGGATTATCTCCCCCACCCTCTCGGTGGAGCCTCCTCAATCAATAACCTTTCCTTACTCTACACTCTGACGGTTGGAACACTGGCCTTTCTTTGGAAGCACCCGCGCAGGAGCCTTGCGTCTGTAACAGTTGCATTACTGCGCAACCATCACTCCTTGCACCTCCAGAACTCGATCTTGCAAAACTGAAACTAGCCTTGGGCACCATCAGACCTGCTCTTTCGTCTTTAGGCTCTAACTTTACGGACGCTGCCTGGGCGCCGGGCTCCGTGCGGCAAACAAACCCACGGGGTGGGCCCTGTGACCCCCAACCCCGTAGGCAGGTGAAGAAAACGAACTTGATTATCAGGAGACCCTTGCACGCCCTTCACAGGTCAAACCCTGGTTCGCTGTTCTCCAGAGTCTACTCCACCGCACCCCGCGCGGCACCTCCACCTCCCACCTCCCCGTCTTCTCAGTCGCCCCATTAATAAAACACGAGGTGAGCTTGGCCTAGACGATCTTTAGGCGTCTTTCCAGCTTGACGGCTTTCCAGTCCCAGGAGCGGGGAGGAAAACCCTGTTTCCTCGCTTCAAAGCCGCGGTAGG